CGGGAACCTTCCCCCGAGCGGGGTCTTGGAGGCCCGGCCGGTCACTTCCTGGCCTTGCAGACCCGAGGGGTCGCCCAAGCCGTGTGGGCGGCCGTGCGGCCCTCCTGTTCCCGCGCTGTCCTGGCCAGCCCTGGCCTCTCGCGCCCCGCTCCCGCCCAGCACACTTTCCGTTCCCACTCAGACTTCAGTGCTGAAGCCGTGAGCCCCATTCCTGGGGCCTCGGGGTCCTGAGCCTTCGCCCTGAAGCTGTGCAAGGTCCAGTGTCCTCCTCAGGACTTGCCAGGATTCCCCAGGTGGCCATGACCATGCCCCCTCCCTGCGGCGCTCATGTCCAGTCTGTCCTGCTTCTCTGAAGCGGGGCTCAGGCTGGGCATCAGCTCTGGCAGTGGGGCCCCTCCCTGAGCCCCCCAGGTGCAGCAAGGGCTGTGAGAGGAGTTAGGGGCTCACGTGCCCGTGACTTCCCAGGGTATTGCCTTGGCCCAGTTCTTGCCTCCTCCCTGCCCCCATTTGTCACGCAGATTCCCGAAGAACCTCTTGGTGAGAGATGTTGGGGGCCCGACTCAGGGAAACTCAGCACAAAGGGGCAGCCCTGGGTCTGCACATCTGGGCCCAGCTGTCTCAGGCCAGCTGCACCCCAGGGGGACGTGCCCCTGCCCGTTCCCACTCTCCTCCGTGTGCTCTCCTGCCCCCTTAGGGGGCTTCCTCGGGGGGCATGGTGGCCGCCAGCTCAACAAACCCCCCAGAGCAGGCTGCCCCTCTCCGTAGCTACTGCAGAGTTGGGGGCGAGACTGGGGACCCCGACCCAAGGTCCAGCTGTGCTCACACCAGCCCGTGGCTCCGAAGCCCCAGGCCTGCACTGCTGGTCCCCCAGGGATGGCCTGAGTGTGGGGAAGGAGCAGCTTCCCTGGAAGGAAGATTCGAGAAGCTGTTCCCAGCAGCCAAGCCTGGCCGCCTGGCCGGGGAAAACAACAGGTGTCCAGCTCAGCAAGGTATTTCCTCTGCGGCCCGGGGCCAGCTGCAAATAAGCCTCTCACCCCTCTGCTCGCTGCTCCTGGCAGCTGTGGTGGGAATGGCCTCACACTGGCCGCCCGTGTCCCCGACTTCTCGCCTGGGAGTGAGACGCAGGTGGCGCGGCCGAGCTGGCGCGGGGTCTGCGAGTGGGCCGGGCAGCTGGCTGGGCCAGGCCGGGCCTGGCGATGTCACGCAGGGCCTGGCTGCAGCTGTCCGGATGCCTGGGAGGGGGTGCTGGATCTAGGGGGCTTTGGCAAATCCGCCAAGAGGGGGTGGATTTTGGGGGGGGGTGCGGGGAAGGGATTTGGACTGGGAAGGCCAGGGGCGGCGGGCTCAGGGAACAGCCTGCGTGCGGCCTCAGGGGTGGGCGGGGGCGGGTGGAGGGCAAGGTCCCTGGGCCGGGGACCGGTGCAGACCTGAAGCCCCGGTGCAGGCCAGGGGAGGGGCATCTTGGGGCCAGGCTGGCTCGGCCTTGGGTTACACCTGGGAGCAAGGGCAGGACTTTCATCAGTCACTGGGGGAGGGCCCAGGCCCCGCAGACTCCGGGGCAGAGGGCGCTGCGGGCCTGCGGGCGAGTGAGGGCGCCCTGGCCTGCTTGGGGTGGCCCCAGGCGTGACTTTCAGTCTTTCTGAAGGTCGACTGGCTCATCTGGGGACGGGGTCAAAGCTGCCGTCCACCGTGCTGCCGTGACAATGAAGTCGGGTCACTGTTGTGTAGAATATGGGGACACGGGCTTCGCCTGCTTGTGTTTTGGGGGCGAGACGGCAGGGCCGGGGCTGGGGGAGAGCCAGACGCTGCTGGGGGTGGGCAGGCTGCAGCGCCTGCTGCGGGGGCTCTCGGACACGGACATGCTCTGGTCCAGGGCGAGGGGGTAGGGCCATGGGCTGGAGGTCAGGCTCAGACCAGGGCCCTGCCCGGGGACAGAGGACAGGAAACAGGCCCCAGGGAAAGACGTGACAAGCTCCCACGGTCTGTCCACCCAGGGAGGCCGTCAGCATTTTGAGCCACTTCCTTCCAATCTTTCTTCTGTGCACACGTGTGTGCCTGTATGTGAATGCGTGTGCATATGGATGTGTCTCTGCGTGTGTCTGTGTGTTTAAGAAAATTAAAAATCGCCGTGGCGCGGGCGGCTGCCTGGGCGGGAAGTGCTGCTCTCCGGGGAGAGGGTGAGACTTGGCAGGCGGCCTGGCCAGCTGTGGGAGTCGCCACGCCAGAGGCCGCATTGGCCATCCCAGACCTCCCATTTTCCTAGAAAACAAAATTGTTTTGTTCTGCCCTGAAAACTGAGGCCCAGATTCTGGCCTCGGCAAGACAGAGACAGCCAAGGAATGAAAGAGGCAAAGCCAGGGCTCCTGGGAAAGAGGGAGTCCCTGCCACCGAGGCCGCACCCTCTCCCGGGCCTCCCGGGGCGTCCCAAGGGGCACCCGCCCTTCCGTGCGGCCGGGCCTGATGGCAGCTGCGGGCGGGCCGGCCGTCTCCCCGCGTCTCTGCTCAGCCTCTCAGCCCCTCAGAGCCCCGTGGGGGTGACAGGCCGCGGCTTGGGACGGGCCCTGGCCCCGCCCGGCCTGAAGGGGGCAGCGTGCCGCCGTGTCTGGGGCGCCCGCGCTGGGCTGGCGGAGGCTGCGGTGGGGGTGGGGAGGGGGAGCCGCCTGTCCTGCCTGCCGGCCTTTCTGAGGGATGGGCCCCGGGCCAGGATGGGGGCCGACCCCAGGTCTCGACCTGTGCTGCAGGGCCTCCCTTCTTCTCTGGACAAACAAGCCGTGGGGAGGCCTCTGCCCCCGCTGGGGCCGGTTGTCCCTGGGGTTAACCGGCCAGCACATTCCTGCCGGGCAGGGCCAGCCAGCCCAGGGTCGCGCAGCCAGCTGGGTGCACCTCCTCAGACCCCAACACCGGCCGGGCCTTTCCCGGGTGTGCGGCCCGGGCCTGGGGCTCTCGGCACCGCTCTGGAGCGTTTGGAGGCAGCCCCTGCACCGGGCCCGCCCCCACACATGTGGGGTCCGCAGACAGCCCCCGTGAGGGCCTGCGTGTGATGCGGCCATGGCCAGCCTCTCACAGTCAGAACCCCGTGTGCTGTGACGCCGGTCGGCCCGCCGTGGGGTCGCGCCGCTTCCTGCTGCGTCTTCCCTCTCCTGAGAAACGGGGGCTCACGTGTCCGTCCCGAGTGTCCGTGCAGTGGCCAGACAGTGCTGGTCATGGCAGCCTGTCTCAGCCAGAGTGTCCGGCCCAGCCGGAGCCGGCCACCATGCCACCCCTCCCCGCCGCTGTGCCGCCCCCACGCCCGAAGTAGGACACACACGCCATGGCCATCGGCCGAGCAGGCTCGGGAAGACAAGCCCCTCCCCAGCCGCTGGCCGCCGTGGGTCTGCACATGTCCCTGAAGTTTGCCTTTTCCAGGCCCCACGGGCAGGAACACGTGACACGCAGCTCCCCTCGCCGGCTGGCCAGAGCGTGAGCACCTGTCCACGCTGCGTGGACACGGCTGTCACTGGCCACCTGAGGGCCTGGGGCATCGTGCGTGGGGCCTGGGGTGTCGGCTTCAGTGCTCTCGGTGGCGTACCTGGGGGTGCTGGGCCACGTGGTCAGCGCGCGGCTTTGGGGGCAACAGCCTGCCTTCCACGGCTGCCCTGTTGTGGTTCCCGGGTGAGGGCGAGGGCCCGTCGTGTGCCCCCTCGGCAGGCCCAGTCGCCCAGCTCGGCTGCGTCCTGGTGAGGCCGCGGGCCCCCTGCCCAGGCAGGCTGGGACGTAGCCCCTCCATGGGCTCGCCTGTGCCGCCCTCCCAGCCTGCGCCAGGCACGAGACACGCATCCCTGACAGGCACAGGCGTGCGGCTGCCTCGCAGCACCGGGCTGGGCTCCCGCAGAGCCGATTTGTCCAGCCTCGATAGGCCCAAGTCCCGCTTCCCCGGCCAGCCCCAGCTACCGCGCCGCGAGGGCCACAGCCAGACCCGGCCGGCCGGTGCTTCGGGCCGCCCTCTGGCTCGTGGTCTACGTGTTTGCCGTGAGCTGGGGCAGCCTCCGTGTGCGTTTCCATCCTCTGGTGCCGGAAGATCTCCCAAGCGTGAGCCATCACGGTAGACGCCAGAACCTACATGCAAAACACACAGGTTCATGCGCTGACGAGACTCACTCGGAGGCTACCTCAGGGGGGGAGGCCTGTGTCAGCAGTGAGAGGCAGGCCCGCCGCGTGTAAAGGGAGAACACCCAGCACTAAGGACAAAGCCCAGAGCGCGCCTGGGAGAGGCCTACGCCCCACACGACAGCGTCACACCTTTTTAAAAATCCCTCAGAACCGACGGGATAAAGTGAGCCCAGGAAGAGGAGGGGGCTGCTCCCGGCACCCCAGCCCTAGGCCTCCGGCGTGGCCTCCCGGTACCCCAGGACCCTGCAGTGGCGCCCTGGCCAGCCTGCTCCCGGGGCAGCAGCTGTCTGTGGCAGGAGAGTCCCCTGCTGCGGGGGCAGCCCCCAGCCCCACGGAGGTCCCCGTGGAGACCGTGCTAGTGACGGGGTGGCATGGGGAGCCCCTGGGGCCTCACGCTGCTGACTGGGGAGAGGGGCCGAGGGGAGGCCCTTGAGCGCTTCGCGTGGGCCCACCTCATGAGCACCTGATTCTTTCAAAGCGAAGACTCTGAGAAGGACAGGCAGGACCAGCTGAAAGGCAGGCCTGACCCTGTTCTGGGGTGATGCCGGGCTGAGCAGGGGCCCTGGGGCTCGCCGGCTCCAGGGAGGGGCGGCGTCTGCGTGAGCAGCTGCGGGCCCTTGGGGGCGGCCGTCTCCCGCTCTGCTCTCCACCTGCGTGTCGTGGGTGAGCCGGGGCTGAGGCCCAAAAGGGTCACGGCTTCGGCCGTCCCGGCCCCGGGACCACAGTGCCCACCGACGCCCCCGCCCGAGGCTTCCCCCGCGGTGGGGAGCTCGGGGCGCAGGTCTGTCCCGCGGCCGCTCGGGGCCTTCACCGCCCAGCCCGAGCCTAACGGGTCCCCGCCTTGCCCACAGCAAAGAAGAGCCCCTCGCTGCTGGAGGTGAGCCCGGCCCCCTTCTCGAGAGCCAACAGCTTTGCCGAGGACCTGGACCTGGAGGGGGAGACGCTGCTGACCCCCATCACCCACGTGTCACAGTGAGTCCCACGCGGCCGGGAGAGGGGAGCGGGCACCTCCCTGCGGCCGGGAGCGTGACCCTGTTTGTTTGGACGTGTGGAGGCAGAGACCAGTGCTCCCCACGTGTGCCTGTGCTCGGGGTGTCTGTGCTCGCGCGCCGTCTGCCAGTGGCCACCGCTGGCCTTGGGCTCCTCAGGTGCAGGAAATGGCTGATTTTCCACGCCTCCCCTTGGGCCCCAGAGGCACAGCTGGCTGGACGCGGCCCCGCTCCTCACCGCACGCACGGCCACCGGCCCGGCCCACGTGGTTCGCCGGGACAAGGGTGGGGCAGGGCCTCCCTGCGGGGGTCCCGGGTGGTACGGACGGCGCCCTCCACTCCCAAGGCTTGCCCCCCGTCTGCCACGGGGCCGGGGTCTCCGGACTCCGTGGGGCCTGAGGTGGCCTGAACTGGGGCGCCGTTCAGCGTGAGGCCCTACGCCGATGGCTTTGGTGCCACCAGACAGGCTCAGCCCCTGTGACTGAGGCCCTGGGACCGCACGCACCCAGGGGCTGTCCAGGAGGGGCCTCCCTGCCCCCCAATGCTGGGCAGGCTGTGTGTGGGACGTGTCTGCAGCCCTGGGCGGTGGCTGGCAAGCCGGGCGACCCTGCCGCTGGACAGGCCTCCAGCCTGATCAGCGGGCGGGCAGCAGGGGCCCGGCTGGCTGGGGAGCGTGAGGGCTCACTGAAGGCTGAGAGTCTCGGGCAGCGTCGGGGCTGCAAGCCCCCCAGGTGGTCAGATCGGGGTGCTCTGCAGCTGGCATTGCGGGACACAGAGGTGGCAGTGCCTGCTGAGCGCGAGGCAGCCGAGTGCGGTCGGGAACCCAGCCCCGGGCAGGTCGGCACTGCGCGGTGTCCCCAGCCCGCCCCCGCCGCCCTCCCCTCCCAGCCAGGGCCTGCGCGGCCACCCTGTGGGCCCTGAGGCCCGCGAGACCCCACAGGGAGGCCCAGACAGGGGCGGGGAGAGTGGCCGAGGGGCCCGCTGCCTCCTCGGGGCCTGTGCATCCTGAGAGCTGCCCACACCGTGGGCTTCCGTAGGCCGGAGGCTGCCATCATGGACACTCATCCTCGCACTCCCTCAGGAGGAGAATGTCGGGCTGTGGCCTGGTGCATGCAGAGAGGCCCCTCGGCCCCGCTCCCACTTGACCGGGGCTGGCTGGAGACTCACCCCTGGGGGGGCTGCCCAGTGCGGGGTTCTGCGGGGCTCATGGGGACCGGGCAGGGGACTGGCGGTCTGGTCGGGGCCGGAGCCGGCGGGGGCTGGGCGGTCGCGTCCCACGGGCTGGGGTGCCGGCCGGGGGCGGGGGGCTCAGGGTGTGTGCGTGGCGCTCGCGGCCCCGAGTGTGAGCCCTCGGGGTGTGCCGGGGTCCCGAGGGGCAGGGCGGGTGGGAGCAGCGTGCAAGAACAGATCCATTTTTCTTCTGCATTTTACTGATGTTAAATGTATTACCACGTTGGGCTAGTTCCAGAATTCAAATTAAAAGCATAAATAAAGACACATTTTGTTTCCATCTCAAGCTCTCCCCGCCCGCAGGGCCCCAGGGAGGTGAGGTCACCGCAGCCGTGATTACGGGAAGGTCCCCGGGCTGGGGCGCAGCTCCTCTTTCCGGGGCCTGCTGGCCGTCGGAGGGGTGAGGGTGGGGTCGATGCAAACCGGCAGTCGTGGCTGAGCGGGGGCAGCGGCCCCCCCATGCAGCGTGGCCCCCAGCTCCGGGGGCCAGAGGGGGACCATGAAACTCAGGCTCCCTGTACCGGGGGGCCTCACCACTTTGCCATGGGGCTCCAGGGGCAAACGCAGCAGGGAGATTGGGCATCTGGGCAGAGTCGGGGGCCAGGGCAGGAGCCCCCTGCCCAGAGAAGCCAGGGAGAGTCCTGGGTTCCTGACCCGCCCGTCGCCCTGTGCCCCTCAGGGTCACCGGCAGGACAGTGGGCAGGGGCCGCCGCGTGAGCGTCCCCACCCTGGCACATGGCTCCCCAATGCATGCGCCTGTCACTCGACTTTGCTCTCCGGCACCCCAGGACGCCCCAGTGGAAAGGCCCGGAGGACGGCACCCCCCGCTCTGGGCTGGCCGCGGTGGAGGGGCTGGGGCACCCCGCGGGCGGCTGGCACGCAGGGCGGGGGCAGTGTCCGTGGGGCCCGGCGGCTGGGGAGCCTTCTCCCGGCGGCCATTTCTGTCCGTCCCCCGAGCTGCGGCGCGGGGCCCTCCCGGCGGGCTCGCCAAGATGAGCGCGAGGCCCTGCCGCCCTGCTGTCCCGGCATCCGGGGGAGGCCGGCCCCCTCCCGGGGAGCGCGGGCGGCGGCGGGGCACCCCTGTGAGCACGCTCCCAGCCCCCGCCTGACAGCGCAGGTCCCTGAGCAAAACCAGCCCCGTGCACGCTAATTAGAGTTTCCATGTCTCCGACTTTCTCCTGGACCCTGCAAAATCTCACGCCAAGACATTCGTGTTTCTCCTCCAGCGAGGCCGCTGTGGCCTGGCTTCCATCCACATCACTACTAATGTCTCCTGAATTCTGCGTCTGTCAGCGAGGCCGGGGCCAGCGCTGCGCCTTCGGGAAACGGGGGCAAATGTCACAGGCGCGGCCTCGAATCTGGGCTGTGGGCTGGGCGGGGGAGGGGGGCGCCCCCTCCAGCAGGGCTGGCTCTGCCCGGCGTTCTGGAGACCCCGGGGCCCTCTGGGGCTGCTCCCAGGGACCCCGTGGGGGAAGCAGAGAGGCCAGTACCCCGGGGACAGGGTGGGCTGGCCAGGACGGGGGAGACCAGCGCCCGGTGGCCCCAGAGCCCAGCCCACCTCTGTCTGCACGGGGTGCCGGTGGGGGTGGGGGGCTGCTTGAGGCGCAGGAGTCCCAGGCCCTGTGGGGGCCTCCCCGCCCCGCCAGCTCAAACCCGTCTCTGAAATGCACGGGGGATTAAATGTTCTCCTAATTAAATTAAAAGCGAGGCAGAGTGGCTCGGTGGGAAAGAGACGCGACTGGGAATCGGATGCCTTCAGCGGGGCTCCCGGCCCAGCTGCCAGCCAGCCCCCCAGAGGCCCCCTGCCTCTGGGACCCCCTCTTCCTCCAGCTGAGCCCGTGAGGACGCAGACAGCTTGCTGGGGCGGTGGAGGGGGGTGGGGTGCGGGCGATGCCCGGCCCTGGGTTCCCCGGCCCGGCCCCACGGGGCCGCCCGGTTGGAGGGGCAAGCCCTGGCCGTGGCACAGAGGCTGTCCCAGACGGCGCGGCTGCTGCGGAGACATTCCAGGCGGCCACGGGGCGTACAGCCCCCCAGTGCTCTGTCTGAACTGGGACAGGCTGAGCCCTGCGTGCGGCCCGAGGCCCATGTCCTCTGGGGGCAGTTCCCCTGCGCGCGGCCCCGGCTCTAAAGGCCTCCCGTGAGGGGCCCGGGCAGGCCGCGCTCGGTGGGAGGCCAGGGCACATGTGAACTGGAAGGCGGCCCGCGCCCTCCAGCACCCGCTGTCCGCCGCGCCCGGGGCCTGGGAGCAGGACCGCCGCTGCTGCCTGTGGGTCGCGTGGTCCTGGTATCTCTGCCGCCTGCTGGGGGCAGCCGAGGCGGAGCCCACGTGCTGACCGCGGCGGCCTCGGGCAGGTCCGCACAGCACAAGGTCCCCGTTTTCTATGATCCAGGGAGCCGGACGCGTCCTCTGTGGATACGCTACTGGTGTCAGGTCAGGCGCTCCGGAGACCCTGAGGTCACACAGCGTCCTGGCTCTTCCTCGGCTTCTCGGCCCGCCTTTCAGGGGTCTGCAGCCCACGTGGCCGGGGTCGAGGCACCTTCTCAGCACCCAGCTGCGTGCAGAGACCCCGCACCCTGTCCGGGAAGAGGGCCTCCCCAGCCCGCCAGGCCGCGCCCACCGCTGCGCCTGGGCGTCCTCTTGGCCATTCGCTGAGGGGGGACAGAGCACAGGCCGGACGGCAGGGGAGGCACCGCCCCATCTCCCTCCGCTCACACGCCGCTCCCCGAGGCCCCCTGCAGTTGGGGCACCCCCACCCAGGGTCCTCGGGGCGTCCCATAGCTCAAGCCTGGGGTTTCTGGGCAAGCGCCACCGCAGGAGATCCCAGCTCGCCTGGGGGTGCTGTCTACAGGGTGTGGGCAGGTCCTCTCTGAGCCTCAGTGACCCTAGGCCCTGGGGCCGGGGTGTGAGGTGGGAAACACCCGTGGGTATGGGGGACAGAGGAGAGACCAGTGGTCTGGTCTGCTGGCCATGCAGGTGCAGGCCCAGGGACCGGGCAGTGGGGCAGCTGTGGCAGCCAGCTGTCTGCCAGTGGATAAGCACTGACGTGTCCCGTCCACTAGCTGGTGCCCACCTCGCCTGTGACGTTTGCCTCCCAAGGGTGCTGGGCCTGTGGGCATGAGAGGCCCCGGGCGGGGAGGGGGCTTGGGGCTGCAGCCCCAGGCCCTGCAGGGGGAGCACCAAGAGGCCTATCCTGCAGGCGGCCTCTGGTGTGCCGGGCAGGAGCGCAGGCCGTGGGGGAGCCCAGCCCCAAAGACCCCCGGGCGATTTCCAGCCGCTTCGGCCCTGGGGTGCACCCCCCCCCCGTCTGTACTTGCTGGCTGCCCCAGGAGGGTCTGGACAGGGTCCCCCGCTGCAAGGGAGGGGCGTGGAGGCTGCCGTGCCGGGCCACCCAGCGGGCTCAGGAAGGGAAGGAATGTGACGGGGGCCGGGTGTGGCCGAGGAGCGCGAAGCCAGTTGTGGGTTTTTCTTGGGCCCGGCGAGATGTGAGCAGAGGTGGGGGCCCCTCTGGCTCAGCCCCTGCCACACACACTAGGGCCTTTCTTCAGCGTGCGGCTGCGGGCCTGGCGGCCAAGGACACTCTGGAAACCTGGATTCCACTCGCCGAGGCAGACGGCGGCTTCCTGCCGGGAAGGTGTGTGTGCACGGCCACTCGGCCGCACGGGCCCCCCGGGCCAGGCCAGGCCTGCGTGGGCTGCTCGGACAGGCGGGCTTGGCCCTGCCGGCCACGCCAGCACGCCCCTGAGCGTGAAAGC